CTTTACTGACCTGTGTTTGTATATGCCAAATTTAAGTTAATTAGAAATGTAGATGTTGTTTGTTTTATCTGTCAAAAAGCTCATCTTAAAAAAAAAAAAAAAATCTAGATACACTTTTCCCCCCAACATTTATCATCTAAATAATAGTCTTGCCAAGATGGCAGCCTCATAATAAACTCTTTTCAGTGGAGTGATGGGTAATGAAGCTTGCTTGTGAAGGCAGCGAAAAATGTTGTCTAGCCAAATGTGTGAATATGATGGCTAGAGAATCAGTGGACTTTCTCAGTCATCAATCTTTTTAGTAGCCTCTTATACATCTGAATATTTTGATAGATGATCTAATAATTGAGTTATCTATCTTTCTAACTATCAGAGTTGCATAAAAATTATTCTCACATGCTATTGAATATTATATATATTGGGCACCCAGTAAATTTTTCAGAAAAGGGTCCAAGAGGTGGAGGAATTTAGTTGTGTCTTAAGCATCCTTTAATATATTAAATGATAAACTACTACATATAGAATATAAAACTATTTGTACTAATATAGGAAGAAAGTAAACAATGTCAATAGCTTATTACAGATAAGACTCACAGTAAATAAAGCATGTAAAAACATGAGACTGCTATGGTAGTGCAGAATCTAATTGAAATTTGAGGTATGAGTAGATTAAGAAGCCAGTTAATGGACAGCAGTCATATTTACACACAGCTGCACAAATTCCTTGTGTCTAGGAAATCTTGGCTGAGGGAAAAAGAAATACAGTGCCACTGTGGAGTCCAAAGTTACCGTTCCGATCTCTGTGAGAGCAGTTTCTCTTGATTAAAGATGAGACTGAAAAGTATGTATTGAAACTGCCCACATCTTGTTTTTTCTGGGTGATTATGCAATATGGATTTGCGTCTCCAGAGCACAAGAATTTGCTTTCCAAGGAAACTAATATTGCATAACAGGAGCATTCAGGGTATTTGGATGAGCTGCATTGAACACATCATCAGATGTGTCTTTCTAGGGCTTATGAGTAGAAAAGCAAAACGATTTATGGTGTTGGTGGTTTTTCTTTTTTAAACACTACACTTCAGACAGACATTATACACTTCTAGGCTTTGAATGCATTTCTGCTGAAAGAATCAGGAAAAAATTATTTTAATAGTAATTAAGATATTTTTGCAGTAAGAGCATTTTCTATTCAAATATCTTTTTTCCCCCTCAGTTTTACCGTTTATGTTTGATTACATGCTTTTCTATAGATTATAAAATGTTATTTCTTGTAAATTCTTGAAAACTCTATGTGAGGGGCTCGTTTTTTACAAAATGCAATTACTCTGAATTACAGTATATTTTAATTTTTTAGTACTTCTTTTGTCCACTTCATAATTACAGCAAGATACAAACAAGTGCATTTTATGAATGGTTCTCCAGTTTAGCAAGTGGCTTTTCTTTCTCTGGTCAGAGCTAGATTGATCAGGATGCTTTCTTGAGGATATCAAAAAATTGTTCACTTATTGCAGAATATTAATGGAAAAGTATCAAAGGGATATGCTTTACAGTTACTACCTGCTTAAAGGAGGAAGGCAAAGATGGATTTCAAGAAGTTGGGTGTTACCATCATTTGACAAGTACTTTGTGAAAGTACCGTTGTGCCTCGTTGGACCTTGCCACTGCATACTGATCTACAAATTTAACAGTTTTAGCTGTCTAACTGACAGCAGTTGTGACTTATGCTTAGTGAGCAAAGTCCTTGATGTTTAGGAGTTCTGGTTAAACATGCATAATTAGTTTGGTACAGTTTGAATACATGTAAAGCAAGACACTGAGTAACAAAAATATAAAAGCCAACAATAGAAATTTGGTTTGGAAGTTCAACACTTGCAATATTTCATTCCACGTAAGCAGTCTATATTTTTGTTTTCTATAATGCTTACATTGATTTTATGCAATCTTAAATTACATACGTGTAATTTCACATATGCATAATTTAAACCTAGAACTAAGGCATTAGAAAACAAATTAGAAAGGTTAAATTATTCTCTCTCATTACTTGGGGAGTTTTACTATAAGAAAGATAAAAAACTTCTGAATATATAAATTTGTAAGCAATTAACTGGAATTTATCAAAGCCAGTGTCTGATTTTCTTTACTATATATGGCTTCTTCTGATCTTAATGGCAGTTATTCTAGCTAGTATTTGTAGCATGTCTACTTGAGAACACACTGAGCTCCTATGCTTATACAGTGTGTTATGCAAACTTACGTCTGTATTTGTGTGTATGATTTTAGAGTGTTTATATCTCAATTTAGGAAAGAGCTCTTCATTTCCCACTCCTAATCAAAATAGCAAGCATCTGTGTTCCTTCTAGTTTGTCATTTGATTAGCATGCTCTCATCCATCACTAGTCTGATATGAACATCAAGAAATCATGTCCTTTTGTTTTAAATGATAAATATGCCTTTGTCATGAATACTTACAGACATTCCAAGATTTACATCTGAATTGTCAGAGTGTAACTGCATGGCTTCTCTGATGTGTGACATTATTAGTGAAATAAAGAACTTCTTAATTTTTTTATGGATGGCCTTAAATATTGATGTTACAAAGCTGATTTAGCTGTGATGCTGAAAAAAATTGTCCTTTTTTCTAAGATGTGTTGTTTATCAGCAACAATCAGCTGCAGAAGAGCCTCTGCGGACATCCTTATTTGCATGGTCCAAGCCTGTCTCTTCAGGTTTCATTATTTAGGTCTGATGTCTAGTTAGCTCTTATAAAAACTAATACCATCTGAAGTACCAGGCTTCCAGTGGTCATACAACCAACATGAAATTTTTTTCAATCTGACTAATCTTATTAAAGACAGTATCTCTTTAAACTCGAGCTTTGTTTCAGTGTCTGGATCAATTGCATCTTGTAAATGCATTTCTGTGAACATTTCACTGCTTGTTTCAGTGGATAAATGCATCTCGATTAAATTATATTCTGCAAGTTTTTTAATTTAAAAATTAGTGAAAATGCTGGTGTTTAGATTAAAGTTTTACTACCATTTTTTACTATGTCTTGATCCTACTAAGGCAGAAATAACTACTGTATTGCTGGCTTCCCATTGTTGAAATATGGCATTTTATCAACTATTTGTAGCAAAAATTGAGTGTGTCATGCAAATATGTAATTTAATTTTTAGTTCCTACAGAAAGCAACTGTTTGTTGAAATCTTTGGGTTCACTTACACATGATAAAACATCATTTCCTGTATTTCTTTGCAGCTGTTATTGTGTCCTGAGTTTTTCATGATCAAAATAATTTTGTGTTCTAAGTGCTGTAATGCTGAAATTGAATCTTTGAAATTTACAATTTCGCGGTACTCCAATTTATAATCTTTGAAACTTACAAAATGTTTTAGAGAGAAATTTAGCAGAGGGTCCCACTAAATTATTTAAAGACCCACAATCAGATTATAATTACAGTATTTTGTAATGCTATATATAATAGACTGCTCTATTTAGGTTTTTTTCCACCTTTTTATTGTTCTTTACCTCAGAGACTTTGACCACAACATATTTTACGTAATCAAGTTGATTTGATTGCAAGTTTTTTAAAGTCATATAAAACTGATCACATAATTATCACATTATTTTATCTCTTTATTTGGAATGTAGTCCTTACTTGATTTTAAAGTAGTGAAAGTACCCATATTTCAGGCTCTCTGTAGAAGAGTAATTTTGAAAGTATATTCTTATGTATTTGTTTCAAAAGGAGAAATACCTCGCATCCTTTGCAACAAAGCCCAGTAAATTGACATTTTCTGGCATATGAAGAATGCATGTGAGTTTTTGAGACACTGAAGCTGTAACCCAACTTGAAGAAGACAATGATGGCAGTGAGCTTCTGTCCAGAGTTAATCAGCTGCAGAATTTGTAAACTGCGTATGTGTCAAAGTTGAAAATGTTAGCACTCTGATAGAAGCTTGAAAAGGTTAGACCTGATAAAAGCCATCAGCAGTTAAAGAAAGTGATTTATGGGAATGTAATGACACAAAATGCCTCATTTATCACTCATATATAGATAGGTTAAGATTTCTGTGTCATACTTTAAAAACTTGACCACTTAGAATTGTCAAAATAGGTACTTAATTGCCCATCATACATTTCAGTTCGAATTTCCTCTTCTTAAATTTTGGTGATTTTACTGTTTTGTTTCTCATATGGTTCTTTTTAAAGTCATTCATATTTCATATTTATTTCATATTTGTTTCAAATGGTATGCTCAGTGCTCTGTTAGAACTTTTATTAGGTAAAGCTGTTGATTTGAGTGCTATCCAAATCTTTTGTTGATTTGCAGTTTCATTCAGCCTAACTGTAAGGAAAATAACTGAAGGTTTCGTTTTATTTTGTTTTATACCACTAATTCTTACCAAGAGTTTACAGCTTTCTAATTCAATCCTTACATTTCCTCTCCAAACTGAAATAGGAGAATTAAATGTGAGATCCATCAATTGGTTTCCAGTTCCAGTCACTTAAGTTACTGTTTATCTCCATATGAATTAAATTTAATCTAAAACTACCAGTACTGTGAAATGATCCTAACACAAAATAAAAATGTTAGGAAAAATGCACAGTAGCGTGTTATGCTTTTACTGGTTTGATTTGAGAATAACAGCAAGCAAATCCCATAGATGCGAGATGGTTTGTGGGTTTTTTTAAACTGTCCACAGTTTTATCATAATGATGAAAAAAAATTATAACAAACATGGGTAAATCCTAATTAGGGAATACCTTTAAGAACATATTTGTAAGATAAAGCAACTGCTCTAAAGTCATTGCACTAAAATACAGGTTCAGCTTGAAAGAAGTGTAATAATGAAGTTTGTAAGGATTTCTTTAGTTACTTATCTTTTTAAAACTATTCCATCCTCTTATTTCTTCATTTTATACAGGAAAGGAAAAAAAAAAGAACAGAAATTAGCCTGAACAGGATAATTTTAATTTTTAATATCAGAAAACCTTACCTTTTCGTTAGTTCTCATAATTTATGGCCCTGGTTGTATAGCATTTTGTTTGTTCAGTGATGACCTTCCAGGTTCAATTTAAAAAGAAGTCAGAGGCATTTGTCATGTCTGCTTGATCTTGTCCAGAGGTACCTGTTGTAATTATAAAGGACTAATAAGGTTGTTTATAATATAGCAGTCTGACAACCCTAAAAAATCTTTCAGAGAGTAACTTATTTTTTTGTCTGTCTTAAGGAAAAAAAAAAATCTGTAATCTCGCTTCAGGCTGTGCTGTGTCTTTTCAACATTTAGTTGCGAAAGCATAAAGCACTTATACCTTGAAAAACTTAACTTAGTTTTAAGAGATATGCTGTTTAATTTGCTCATTAGTAATACCTTTTGCAAATAGTAATAATGTGGCTACAGTATAGATGTGCCCTATATTTAATTGGTATATGTGGAAGCTATGAGGACATGCTAGGAAACAGTGAATTCCTTTCGTGGTGTAAAAAAACCCACACTTATTAACATGTCTGTTGCAAAAATGTGTGATACATTAATATAGTAAGTTCTCTTTCTTAAGAAAAAAATCCTAATTAAGAAATTCTCGTTTATTCCATTTTAAGCATTATTAAAGTACTGCTGTAAGTAGGTGTTATTGCAGTGATATTTTACATTATGTGTCAGATTTTTTACAACTGACTGATCATTTTTCCCTTCATATGTCCTTGTTTTGCTTCCTGTCTTCTCTTTCCTCCCCCATTTCAGCATCATCCAGCAATACTGCTTTTTATAGGTATGCATATAAGGTAAACAAAAGCATACTAAAACCAATGGAATTTGAATGTTTGAAAGAAATGTTTACCTCTCTTGTAGGGTATATAACAACACTGTAATACTGTCAGGCTACCATACATCATTTAAATACCCTTAGACAGCAAAAGCAGAATCTTGACAATTCAGTAATCTCATCATGTGATATCAAGAAGCCTTTTTTCATATCTACAATTGGGACAAATTTATGTTGTATGCATTTATGGTTGTTAAACTCAAAATTGTCTCATTTCATTAATTTTTAACATTGTGCTCTCTTAATGACTATGAAGAAATGTATTAAAATGCCTTAATTATAGGGCTAGGAGAAGAGAAAGTGCAAGTCTTTTTAGCATATGATCTTTCAATTGTTCACTAAAGGATAAAGAGGGCATTCAAGCGTGTTTTAGGTAACTGTCAGCAATAATAAAATGCAGGGTAGTTTGTAGAGCCTTTAAAGACCTTTTGGGGAAATAGATTTAATTAAAAAACAATATAATGGACTTTTCATTTCAAAGAAATCCAAAATGTTATAAAATTTCAGGATTTTACTGTATTAAGAGTAATGTATGTTTCCAAGGATGATGAAGAATAGCTGTAAAAATATTCTGCAGTCCATACAGCAGTGATAGCTTTATTTTGTGTATGTAGCTTTAGCTTTTAATGTGTGTGTCTTTTAGCTTTTAATACACATATACGGATAGCATATTAGAGCATATTTTAGGTTTTCTTAGCAGAGTGATTTTATCTGTTTGGGGTTTTTTAGTTTGTTATGCTTTTAACAAGGAATTATTGCTGTTGCTTTGGGTTTTGGGGGGTTGTTCTGTTGTTCTTTTTTCCTTTTTAATAAGTGAACGTTTACCTTCTTAATGTAAAATTATGTTGTTACATCACCACAGAACAATATAACTGACATCTTGACATATGTTCATTTGCCTGTTTGGTAGAGTCACTAGGCTCCTACTCATCATCTTAGTTATTGTGAAAATACATTTCACAGTATGTTTTGAATTTCTGCTTTTTTTCTCATGAAATCAGAAATTGCGTTTTCTAGTAATGTTTTTGATTGTGTGGTGTGTTGAAAAGTTTACTTAGACACTTGTTCTGCACTATAGAGTTATATGACTTCTGGCAAATTAGGGACAACTTAACCTGCATGTGGCACGCAGAGGTTTATAAGAAAAATTGATTGCTGTCTTTATACAGTGGTTTTGCTCCCTTGCTTACCCTTTTTGCGCGGAAGTTTTTGTGAGGAAATTGCTTTTGTGAGAAAGTTTTTGTAAGCTGTTTTCTCTCATCCTGGTGCACACACATGAATTGCATTGACCAATTGGTTTGTCATAACGAGTACCAAATGAATCTGCATCCAAGTTGTCTTTGTGTAGCGAGGTTTTTTTACAGATAAATCAAATTCACCAAAGTGCATTTTCCACAAATTCTAAAACTCTGTCAGATTTGTAGTTGTAGTTGCTGGCCCAAGTACATTATAAAGCATGTTCACAATGAAAATGTGACTTAAATATTTAGAGTCTTTGCTGTATCCTCTAGTAAATTATGTTTGGATTATTAATTCATATCAGTGTTCACTTTGTCACTGACTGATTAGAGAAATAGAAAATTATCCCTGTTAGTGGATTTGGTGATTTCTCTTAAGAAAAATAGGGTTTGTTTTCTGCTTGCGCACATGCCTTGGACTGCAGCACAAATGAATAGCATAGCCTCTGTATCATGCACTGGGCAATGACTGTCTGAGAAAGATAGCTAATCTTAATAGCTAAAATGTACGAACATGTGATACTGTTCTACATAAAAAAGCCTCACTATTTTCTTTGTTGCTGGGCTTCCTGAAACTTGAGGACTCAAAACTACCCAAACTGCAACCAATAGTTAGCATGTCCAGCCTCAGTACAAGCTGAGGATTTCATGATGCAAATAGATGATCACAATAGAATAATGGTGTTCCTTTACGCTGTTATGCGTTATGATTCTTAGTGGCTGATTCTCATGCATTTGCCTCTGGACAATGGACAGGGTAAGCTGTAATGGCTGTAAATTTAGCTTTGAATCTCTGTTCCATCATTAATCTCTTTTGTACTACCAAGAAAATTACTTGTTGCTTCCATATTTAAAATTCACTAACTGTAAAAGCCTGATACTGCATCAAAATTTTGCAAGGTTATACTTAAAATTGATAGCGTGTTTTCTTTAAACTCAAGGTAAAAGAGGCTACAGATGCAGATATATGAATACACTCTGTTATAAAATAATCTCTATTCTTACAGAAGAAGTGTAAACCTAAGCACAGATCTTCTCATAACTTTGTTTTTTCTTATCACCATTTATGGTGCGTCAAGGAAGAGAAAAAGAATCCAGGAGTACTGTCTGTGCTTTGGCATAAAACATTATGAAAACAACATAAAGTTCCAGATGTTTTTTGGCTTGCGTTAAGGAGATAAAGGATAGGATTCTAAGACAGATACAAATCATGTCAAAGTACCAGTCAGATCATGCTTCTCTGCAAAATGTCCAGGGGAACAAGTTCAGAAAGAACAGTCTGTTTTCTCACTGTTACAGAAAAGGACTTTCCCAGTTGTAAATGCATACCATACTGTCTTTTGTATCTTGTGCTTTTTTAGCCCTTCTCTGTAAAATCATCATGTGGACCTCTGAAAATTAATACCCTTTCTTGTAGATTATTTTCTTTAATAATTTTTAGTTGCCACAAGACCAATAGGATGTAATAGCAGTAAGACCTTTAGTCTGCTCAGCATCTGCCCTCTCCCTGACTTGAACATACCACAAAATGAGGCTGAGTCTGTGCAATTTGGCATGGTGGAAGATTCTCGTTCATATGTAAGTTTCAGGGAAACATCTGCATCACAATGGTAGATCTTATCTCAGAATATATATATGTGGGTGTATATGAGTGTACGGATGTATGTCTGCATTACATAGACATAACTAAAATGTGAAGTTTAAACATAATAGTGTAATGTTATCATAGTCCTTTTTGGCTATATCAGTAAAATACTTTAAAATAGTGCTTTGCTGTTTATAAAAATATTTCTTATATCTCTACTATAATATTCTCTCCCTGGTTTTGCTATTATGCACATGAGTGAATGTGTCTGAACTGAAACAAGTAGAAAAAGTGACTTTTTAACAATGAAATATATTAAAATTATTTGATTTCAGATAGGATGAAAAACAAAAAAAAAGGCTGTTTAGCATCATGGGATATTGTATTACCTATGGAGAAATACACTTTGCTGCATGAGTCTTTTCTATGACATGAGGGAATTTGTGTATAACATTCCTTTCAGTAGCTCCCAGTGTATGTTTTAGAGTATTAATTACCTAGTCAGGTTTTATTAGAGCCCATTGAGTTTTGCATAATTAAAATTGTAGCAACAGCTAAATGATATGAGATGTGGAATGCAGAATCTTTGCCAAGTGTTCATCTCTGGGGTTTCAGAGGAGTGGATGATCAGGAGAAACTTAGAAGTCTGATACTGAAAAAGAAAATAAATATGACATGGATGTGTATTTACCGTTGTATAAAATACTGAAGTTAAGTATAATAAATTGCTATGTTGTTCTTGTGGAGCAGCAATATTATGTGTAGAGTTTCTAAGGTAGTTACTAGTTTTAAAAAGGAAAACTTTATAATTGCAGTATTGGGTAACTGTAGACTGGTTTCTGTACACCTATAAGTTAAATGTTTTTGATGTAGTGTGAGAAAAGTTGTTTATTGTCTAGATGCTATCAAAGGCATGTAACTGAAAAACAAAAAAAAAATCATTAAATTTAATATTGTGTGGCCATTAGGGGTGTATACAGTAAATATACGTTATTATTTATTGCATAGAATCAGTCTATATAGCAGAGGTCTAGTTCTGTTTGAAGTCAGTGCAAAAATTTGTGCTGTCCTCCATGCAAGTAAGAATAAAGCAGCCATCAGTACTAGTTTTGACCTGTGTAATGACTTGGTCCTTTAGGTTAAGTGATCAGATACAGCATAAGATCTACAATTGTACTGATACAGTAACTTGCAGCAAATCCAGTGAAGGGCCACAAACACAATGAAGGGTTTGGAGTATCTTTCACGTGAGGAGAGGCTGAGAGAGCTCCAACTGTTTAGTGGGGAGAAGAGCAGGATCAAGTGGGAGCTTACCAATATAAATACCTTACGGGAGGGAGTAAGTAATATGAAGCCCGTGTCTTCTCAGTGATGCCCAGTGAGAGGACAAGAGGCAGTGGACACAAATTGAAATATAGGAAAATTTATTGAAATTTGTGAAAAATCTGTCTTTCTTGTTCTTGTCAAACCCTGGAGCAGGCTGTCTGGAGAGAGTGTGAAGTCTTCATCGTTGGAGATATTCAAAACCCAACTAGACAAAGCCTGGAACGTTTATCTTCAGTTCACCCTACTTTGAGCAGGACTAGACAATATCTAGAGGTCCATTTTTACCACAGTTATTCAGTGTTTGTGTGATTTTATTATTATTTTTATCAGGGTTTTTTTGGTTTTTTTTTTTTTTGAAGTCACAGAGGACTCAATGTTGAAATGAGTGGAAGGGAAATCTGAAGAGCTTTAGTCCAGTAGACTGTGCTGCTGTTACATTTACTGTCAGATTTCCTGAACAAGGAAATCATTTATTCAATATTCAGGGTGAGATAGAAAATTAGGCTGTAGAAATGAGAGGAAAAAACTATCTACCCATTAATGTTTGTCTAAAAACTAATAAGTACTAAGCACCAATATAATATAACAAAATAATAAGTGCTTAAACAGTAAGAATATGAAAGAATAATGGAAGGAAAGTAGTAAGAGGGTGGTTTTATAAATCTTGTTGGTCTGAAGTTTGGGGATCGGCTCACAGAAGAGTATACAACTGTAGACGTACAAAGTTAACAGTAATGATTAAAGTCAGTAACTGCCAGCAGATCATAATATGTTAAAGGTTGTAATCTTTTGAAAGAAGTTGGTTGGCTTTCCTGTTGGCCATCCTATCAACTTTAACCTCCAACCTTCTCCAGCATGTATCACTACAAATAAAACTGCTGAGGCTTGACAAGAGGATGTAAAGTCACTAGGCCATCGCACAGAGATCTCGACATGATTTTCTTTAACCTTAAGCTTAAATGAACACTGCTTTAAGTCAGGGTTTTTAATAAGAAGTCATAAATGCTCATATCACTTTTAGTTCTAATAATCACTGTTTTATCAGAGAAGAGAAGAAATATACATAGTAAATTATGTTTGACAATCAGAATTTGATTTCGTTATTGGTTGTCTTTGACCATTACATGAATTGCTGTTCTTCATTTTAATGTATATTTTTTCATGCAAGCTGCATATGATATTGATATAAACATGGCATTTGTGTATAGTGTTATAAATGAATTTTAGCTCTTGATTAAGGCAAACCAGATGACAAAAATTATGTGTTTGTATTTACCAATGTCAGAATAATAATCTTTAAATCCGTAGTCACCCATGCTAATTTTAGCTTTTCTTTCTCAATAATTTTTAATGCAACTTTACACAATACCTTTAAACAATCTAGGAAATATGCAGGCCATACTTACTCAAAGCTTTTCTTTATTATATCTCTCCTGAAAGCTGCCTGCATAGTGCTTCCATTTTGTCAGGGAGCAGCCATCCACAGTATTAACTTTTGCGCCATCCCTATTCTTATGAGCAACTATCTTTGAACATAGGCTGTACCTTACTGAAACTTTATTACAATCCCAGAATTCTATTTCTTTCCAGTTCACAACCATACCAACTTAAAATTAGGGTTTTTTGTTTTGTAGCCTGTAATATTTCCATGACAGCTTTTGTGGTGATATATAGTAATTCTTTTCATGCTTTTTTGTTGCTCTCAGATTGTCATCTTTTCCACTCACCCATATGTTTTCTTTAGAGTGATTATTTTAGGGGCTGTATAAGTAGTATCTTCTTTTTGAAGTCTTGCCTTTCCACACCTAAGTTCTGTTACTTGCATGAGCCATTCGTATATTCATTTCCAGGCAGACTGTACTTTTTGTCAAAGTCCACTTTCAATAATTAGAAAAGTACCACTGTTTATTTGATGACATGCATAGATCTTCAATTCTTACTTATGTTTTCTATGGCTTTTTTAGGCTTTCTTCACAAACTTAGCTACCAGATACTGGTGGATACCTTTTTTGTCTTTCCTATACAGTTTGCAGCACACTAGTCAGGTCTCAATAAGCCATGCAGCTTGCCTTTTGCTAAAAATTTTTAATTGGTTTTCGTGTATCTTTATTAAATAAAAGCTTGTCACATGCATGCTTTACTGTTGTAGATGCAATATGCTGTTGTCTGTAACCTGAGCCTGTGTTTTTCATCTGTGCTTGGACTGTATCTAAGTTGTCCGTAGAATGTAGTTAAGGAAAACAGACCTTTTGTATTGTCAGTTTTATATATGTGTATATATATAAATATACATATATATATAATATATATATTATGTTACATAAAGGTATGTTGTACATATATATATAATGAACCTTTTTGTTTGTCAGTTTCCAATTATATATATTGGAAAACTGCTATGCATTTACAAATTGTGAGAGACAAATTCTGATGTACACACTTATCCTGGTGGAATGCATAGCAGACTCCACTTATATTTCTGGTGCTACCTACCTGTATTCTGGGAAACAGTGGATGTTGCTGTTTGTCAGCTATACAGTATGTAAATGTTATTAGATATTCCTGGAAGATTAAGAGCTGATTGAATAGGAATAAGGGGAAGCTTTTTAAAAGCTAAATCTAGTTTAGTCATTTCTTTCTCTCAGCAAGCCTTTTATCCTGTGAGAATCTTCAGGTGATACTACTTTTATTTACCTTTGCAGGGGAGAACAATCAGTGTGGCGTCAGTCTGTGTTCTTTTACTGTTCCCCTTAGCATTTAACCATCACCGTCATCAGAGTGGGCAGAAAATAGTTTAGAAAGGTATAAGTGATTTTTGTCGGAGGAGACAGGTAAGTTGAGTTAGCAAATGAATTCAAATATTAATAATTTTAAGCAAGAACCGCTGGCTTCTAAGTTTCTTTTTTCGAGTCCGCATGTATTAGGTTCAGAAGACAAATATAGTGCACCAGCAAACCCAGAGTAGAAAGAAATAGCTTTGAAGTATTAAAGTTTTGGCTGATACTAGCAGAGGTTTCTGATACTTTTTATGTAAACAGTGGCAGTTACCACATTGCTTATCAAAGCACACGGAAAAAGTGTAACATCCTGTAACTAAAACATGGTTACAGGGCCGTCACAGCAGACAAGGGCATTATAAGAGAATAACTCATTGTATTAAGCCGTTGCATTTATTCACTGGAAACTGCTGTCTGGACACTTTCAGTGTAAGAATGTATTTGTGGTGGAAAAGTACTATAATCACAGTGTACTCAGTTAAGGCTTCAGAATCATCCTCAAGAAACAATAGTGACAGTATATAGAAGTGGCAGAACTGAAATGCAAGTATAAAGTTATTAATTGAGGGTTGATTAAGATAACATGTGTTATCCATAGGAGATGTTCAGAAAGCTTTGTAGTGGGTACAATGACAATGATTAGAAGCAGGAATGCTGATCCCTTCATGCATGAAGTAGTTTGTCCCACTATGGAGTTCAGAAAACTAATAAAGCTTCTGTGAACCAAAGCCATAGAGGATTATTTTAACTAGGTTAAGACATTTTCTAGAAATGCTGGCCTTTTTTTTTTCCTTTTTGTTTTGCATGACTTAGGGAATGAGCAGTTACCTCAGAAAAGGCAAATAGTAAAAAGTTATTTTAGAGTTACTCTTAGCACAGTACATCGATTATCCTTGCCTTTAAAAAAAATGCAAAATTTGACCATATTTTAAACTATCAAAATAGTTAAATTGACTTTTTCTGTTTTTTTACAAAGAATTTTAGTGACTCAGAAGTGCCTGTGATTCAGGAAATGTGAGCATAAATTAATTTGATGCTGATTAGAAACCTGGAAATAGATCAGCAGAACATAAAACAGCTACTGCACATATGTCTTAATAATGTCTGTAAATGTTTCTATATGAAACACACACATGAGGATTACAAAGATTCTTATTTTTTTGAAATGTTTATACCATTTCAAGCTACTCTTTTCTAGAAATGCTGTTCTATATTTTCTTAAAAGAGCTTTTCAGAAAAGCAAATGCCATAAATATATCTTGGGATAGTAGACAATATATAAATACTTCTCATATTTCTTGTATGCATACTATATTTCTTTCAAACCATAGTTACCAAAACTTTACTATGTAAATCTCATTATATGTTGTTTGTATCAGAATGAAAAAAATATAATATGCTGTATAATTTAAAACTAGTATTGAATTGCTGACATTTTCCATTGCATGTGAATGCCAAGTTGAATGTTCAGCTTTTAATAAGGAAATAGCATTTGTTTTAACGTATCAATGTATAATTCCTGAATATTAGTGCCACATAATTGCTTTATCCCAGAAGACTATGAAATCTGCTGACAAACTGAAAAATTGAAAGAAAACTTTAGTGGGAGCTAAAGGTCCCAATTTCTGTTCCATGTCCTAAAGTTAGTAAAAAAAAAAAAAAAAAAAATAAAAAGAAGAAGAACTTGTCAGTATTAATAAAGAAGTTTGATAAGAAAGTAGAATAGGAGTCAAATTTACTGATTTCCCTCTTTTATATTGTGATTCTAGGGAAATCTCTATCTGCTGGAGTTTAGTATGGCCCAGTATTCATTATCTAAGTTTTCATAGAATTTAACTGAACTTCATCCCAACTAATGAATCATTTTATAAGGTAAATTGATGTCCTATCTGCTATTTTCATGGGAAAAAATGCAGGCAGCAATCCTGCTGCCTTTTGCACATCATCATATACCCTATCTTTTTAACTAGGGCAAACTTGCATCATACAAAGATTAAATTTCAGACATTCAATATAAATGTTTGTATTTTTCAACAAGTAGAGTTAAATAGAGGTACAAACATGTTATCCATGTGTATCTCCTGACATATTTCCTCACATATTCATGGTTTTTATGTCTCGCATCTTTTCTTTTTTCCTATGGTTAATGGATGGGGTAATTCAACTGCATTTTTGATGCTTTTCTTGAGGTAAAGAAACTCTGCCTTCAGATATTATTCTTAGTTCTAGGTAATCCAGTTTCTTAAAGAGCAAGTCTGCAGAAAAAGAAATAGAAATAATTATGAAAAGAAAAAAAGCCTTTATAACATGATTTTAAAAAATGTTTTTCCTACTATTGTTTAACAATGATTTTTGAAATACAGAACTTCTAATTTAGTTTTACATACTGCACAATTAAACACTGTGATTGTGTTATTGGTTATCAAAGGTTACAGAAAATGAGAAGTATTTAAACATAGTTTTGTACCTATTTATGATAACAAAAAGAGTAGCTCTTACACAAGAGGAGACATAAATACTTACAAGATGTGAAGGACTTGTCAAATCTCTAATTGCTTTGAATTAAAAATGCATTGTAAAGGTATCGTGATATTGTATTTTGGGATTTTTGTTTTGTTATGGTTTTATTGCTGGTTTTGAAGTTGATTAGTCGCTATCCAGAATGAAGGAAAAAATTTAGAACAGTTGTTATTGTTCTTCATTCTTTCATTGTTCTTTAATTTGATGATATAGTCATCTTTGTTATGTGAATATGCTTTTTAAAAATAAATTCTTTCCTGTAAGCAGTATGAATTAAGAGTAAAATCTCAACATTGCTTTTATATTTCATGTTCAGAGATGTTCTGTTACTGTATGAAGTGGCTTTGGAATGAACTATTTCCCTGCTCTTATAATCTTGATGTTCGCTATGTGTATGGAAACTACCCCTAGAAGTCCTAATAAAATGTGTTAGAAATTGCTATAGAACTGAACAAGAGATACTTTTCCTACAGAGTTTAATGTTCAAGTATAATACAAGAGTCAACATGTTTACAGTGCAGTGCAAAGAGGCAATAAGATAATATTGGTCAGCATAACATTCACTGATCTGAGTACATCAGCAGACTGCTAAATTTTTCATGTGTTTTGACAGATGAGAGATTTAGAGGAAAATAACAGATTGCTTTTGTTAATGCTTTTTGAGAATTATTTCTAACCTTGAGAGGCAATTGGGGATAAAGGATAAAGGTGGTTTGCCAATTCAGAGTTGGATTTGACAGCTTACTAGAGAATGGAGAGAGATGATAGAACCGTGAAAAGCATATAGGCCTTCCTCTGTAATGGGTCTTCCACTTTCCAAGCACAAAGAAAGAAATTACATACTTAAATAGTCACACAATTTTTTTTTCAAAATTGGTTTGGATGGAAACGAGCAGTGCAGACTGCACTGATCAGTTCATAGAAAGGTACTTTACAGCAATACAGGGAGGAAATGAGCACCTTTAAGGGCATCTCATCTGTGTAGATGAAATGAGAAAGTAGGAGATAAAGATACCCTGAAGAATGAATTAGCTGTATTTGAACATGGGGGATAGGAGGAGCTCCAGAGAGGACTCCAAATGGAGACTCATGTGAGGGCAATAGGTGTTCTTAATAGATGAAATGATCGTCTTGACCATAATGATTAAGAAAGAAGGGTGAGAAGGATAATGAGTGAAAAGCTCTGTTTAGAGGTGTTGGCAATTATCTAGTTATGAGATACATAGAATAAATTGTTGGGTACAGGGATTGTCATTAATTTGAATATCTGTGAGACATACCTGGCGGAAAGTGGATCTTGCCTGTCATCCCCATATGTTACTGAGTTATGCATCATGAAAGGGGAAGGACCCCAAAGTGTAACTTTGAGAGATCCATTATGATTCTAGGTCCATATTTCCTTGTTGTGCCTTTACCAGCATTGAAGTTTCCACCGCTTTCAGTTGCTGAATGCACAGCACATGCTCATAATAATTTAGCTGCTAGAGGATCTGTCACCCACATCTCTAAAGGGAATGCTTAAGCAGAGTAACACCTTTTCAAGCACAATTGTGATGTTCTCAGGTTCATACTGCAAGATTCTACCATAAATGCAAGACAGATCTGCATTTAGCAAGACCTGTTGCAGTGCACTGAATCAGTAAGGTAGAGGTACTCGCTGAGGTTGCACTTGGAGTTTCTAAATAAGATGTAGAGAGGCTAAGCTCAAAGCCCTTGGGTACTCCCATGGAAAGCTGCAGAAGAGTTCTGAAAGTCTTCTATAAGACATGCAAGTCTAAAACAAAACCCTCAGATCTCAAATATCTAGCAGTGACAGCCCCACTTTCTGACTGAAGCCTTTCAGAAGCAGTGGGCCTCCATTTGTACCTGTGGAACCCAGGTATGGATACTGGATTTCTTAATTGAAATCACAGAAATGTGGTGGTTCAGATGCGTGAAAAGCCCAGTCAAGTAGCAGTTCACAAAAAATAATTGAACTGTGTACCTTTCTTAAGGGGATGGTTTAATGTTCTAGTTGTTTGTTAATTTGGAGCAACTCTTACCTGCATATCCAAACTACTAGATACTGAACTGCAACCTGTTGGTTAATAAATTTATGAGTCTGGAGGTTATGCTGGGCATAGAAAGTTCAAGAGTAGCAAGAAAAATGTTCTACCAAAACCATACAGTCCATAGCCAGAATTTGAAGGTAATCATATTCTTCCTTTGAGAGATATGGTGTGCAGGTAACAAGTCTTTGTGTTTACCATCCTACATTACAAGTACTGATTTTGTTCTTTTCCCAGCCCCCATAATGGTAGTATTAGAAGATTGTATTATTTGCATTGATAGTGAAACACTAATGCTGTCATTTGAGAGGGTTCTAGGGATTTTGATTTTTATTCAAGTGTGGTTGATCTAAATCACGATAATGTTTAATTCTTAAGTCTGAAGACAGAGTGAGATTTTGCAGTATTTCAAATAGCTAACAATCACAGTCCTGATGCTTTACAGGCCAGTAGTTAAATGTGATGTTACAGGACAATGCAAATTCCATTGACCTCATCAAATTCTCTATTAAGAACACATCAGGCATAGTCTCAGAGAGAGTAAAGGGTTTTCATTGTTACCTCAGCAAAAGATGCGTGATATCTTTTTTGTCCTTCCTAGTACTCATATGGTTTCTCAGTTCTTTTTGGAATTAATAGAATCTTTTAACTCATTGTGACACAAACATCTTGATATTATCATCTCAGTTAATAAATATTATCAACTCTGTGAGTTGATAATATTTATTATTGCTACTTTTACCAAGCAGTTCTACTAATGTGTTTCTCAGGTCAAGAAGAAACTTAAAATGTTTTTAAAAATTTAAAATACGTGTTGGCTCTGTTATGTAGACTGATCACTGTAATTTTTCTGTTGGAGATTTTAGAAATTTTGCAGCTTTTAGATAGGTATATAACTTTAATGCAATTTAGAGCTTCAATTCTTAAATTTCTTTTTCTAAATGCATACAATGGGCAAATATATCACTTTTTGAGAGGAAAAAAATGTCTTCTGATTTTATGAAAAGCTTCAACTGGACATAAATTATATCCTGAAAAGTTCATGCTGTTAATAAAATGGAACACCTAAATAAACTCCAAAAATGCTTACAGGTCAGCATTCTGAAATATGAACTTACAATGTATAAAATTATATTGTACAAGTAATGAAAATTAAATAAAGACAAAATTGGTAAAAGAAGAGGAGAAAGAGGGGGAGAAAAGGAAGGTGTTAGGGTAGTGAATATATGCGTTCCTGTTTCTATTGTCAACATGAATTTAAATCAATCCTATTACAAAATTTGGTATGAGTATGTGTGTGTTGTGAAAGCATAGTCAGCCTCTTTAAATTCAATGTAATTGACTCCTGTGATCTGTATATACTGCAATCTGGCTATTTAATGCATATGAATCTCAGCAGCAGAAGAAAACCTGAGATTTTTTTTTTCAGTAGTTACCTTTCTGTTCATGCTTTGAGGTGGTGTTTCTGAAAGTCCCAAATATAAGGCCCATTTATTCAAATTTTAAGAACATTGCTACTGTCAGTGTTTTATTTGAATATGGAAGGAACAAGAAACAGTTTTCACATGGAAAACAAATACATTTCTTCTTCACTTTCAAAATAAAACCACAACAAAGACACATGTCACTTTTACTTGCGCTGCCCCCTGTGTAGGATGTCTGGGGTACAGCAATAAATAGTGTGGAAAATGACAAATTCTGTATCATTCTCTAGATGAAATCATTGCTTGGTTAGAAACAATGAGTAGCTAGCCACTAACTGCATTGGGCTGCGATTTCACCTCTCGTGTCAGTGGCTCCTAATGTAATCTTCCCTCCTCTGTGACAGATTTTTTGCAGGCTTGGCTGCAGAAGTACATAATGTTGTTCTTCAGAAATGTCTAAGAGTCTAGTAATTGAAAAGTTTACAAGAAAACTTGTGCATACTCTGGGATTGGGTGTTATTCATGATCAGAGCTTTAAATTACAAATTCAACCTGATCATCTTGTGTTGCATAGGCAGATTCTAAACTTTGTTTTAAAAGTTTTAAAAGAACTATTTCATTGGAAATACATTGTCTTATGAAACAACTGACAAAATTCTGTGTGTCCTTTGCAAAAGGCTGCATGTTTAATGCAATAAAATTGCATCATCACACTTTAAATTTGAAGTAATATTAATTTCATGAATCATGTATGTAACTTAAAGGTTACTGTGGTAACATTGTCATACATTTTTCAGATAGTTTAGTAATCGTGTAATGAACAGACTTAACTAATCATCAAAGTATGTATGCAAAGTAGGGTAAATTAATATTACGACAGTTTGTGGACCCAAGTCAGCACGCAGTAATTGATTGGTTTAAGTTCCTAACTGAAACCGTTTTCTCATGATTTTTGTACTTAAAACGTTATTACATACAGTGGAATGTCTGAATGTAACTATCAGAAGTGCTAATAGATAAAATGTTATTAACTGTGTCTTTGAAGCCTGGCAATATGAAGATACACTGTCCCTATTGTCATCATCTTTTCTTATATTGCTTGGTGAAGACAGCTTTTGGGGGTGCATATTTTAATGCATCTGAAGATTTTTAAAGTTTACATTAGATAGAAGTTTAATTACAAAGATGCAGAATGAGCAGAATTGATTGCGGTATAGGAAATCTCACGAAACTATGAGCTCTGTTTTTGTCTTTTTCAGGATA